TCCTTCCTGTATCCCGTGGGATGCCAACCTCCTCATCCCAATCCTTCCTGTATCCCGTGGGATGCCAACCTCCTCATCCCTCTCCTTCCTGTATCCCGTGGGATGCCAGCCTCCACATCCTAATCCTTCCTGCATCCTATGGAATGCCAGCCTCCTCATCCCTCTGCTGTCCATACCCCGTGGGATGCCAACCTCCACATCCCTCTCCTTCCTGTATCCTCTGGGACAGGATTTAAGCTGTTTGACTTTCCTGCAGTGTGAGGTCTCACAGTGTGATGGTGTGAGTGGGACTGGGAAGGAATTCCAGGCTGGCAGGGTGGGCAGCCCTGGCACGGGTGCCCAGAGCAGCTGTGGCTGCCCCTGGATCCCTGGCAGTGCCCAAGGCCAGGCTGGACAGGGTTTGGAGCAATCTGGGACAGAGGGAGGTGTCTCTGCCATGGCAGGGGTGGCACTGGGTGGGTTTAAGGTTCTTTCCAACCCAAACCATTCCAGGATTCCCTGTTTCCCTGGCACTGGCAGGTTGCAGTGGGAGGGGACAGCAGGGACAGGGGTGGCATTGTCCCAGCAGGTCACTCCCCACCTTTGGGCTGCACAGGTGAAAGGGAGATGCCATCAGCTTCCCACCTCTGCCTGTTTTGAATTTCAGGAGAGGAGCAGGTGGGCCACAACTTCCTTTGCTGCACGTGGCCCAAGGTTGAGCTGGAATCCCACCTGGATGCTCTGGAGCCGTGCCTTGTCCAGCCTGGGCTCTCGGGGGGAGCAGGACCAGGATTTTGGGCAGTGCCCACGCCTCACGTGGGGCAGCCTCGTGCCACCATCCCAGGAGAGGCAGCTGGAGTCGGGAGAGGGTTTCACAGCAAAGCTGGCTCTTTTCTTTTGGGAATCCTGGCCCCTGGCGTGTGCTGTGTTCCCAGCACCATCACCAAGGACATCCTGAGCAGGGCAGAGCTGCACCTCCCACTGACCCCAGCACGAGGGGATCTTCTTTGGGTTCCTCATAAAGGGATTGCTTGTCTGCTTGAAACAAAAGCTGCAGAACTGATTCAATATTGAAATCTGGACCGTGAATCACAGAGTGGTTGGGGCTGGGAAGGACCTTAAAGCTCATCTCGTTCCACCCCCCGCCTTGGGCAGGGACATGACAGATGCATTCTTTTAAGAATGAATGTATGAATTGATGAATTGCAGTTACAGATTTAAGGTGGTTATTTTTTGTGCCTCTCGTCTGAAGGGCATTTCAGTTTGTGAAGGGACATTTTGCTGCATTGCTGCATTTTGCCCTTTTGCCACAGAGGAGGAAAACCCCGATCGCACTGAAAATGTGAAAAACGCTTTTTAAAATCCAGCTGGGAATATTTTGAAAGTCTCTGTAGGGAACAGCACTCAAGCAAAGCAGGAATGGAGAGGAGACTGCTGCTTGCTTTCCCCCCCTTATTTCATTATTCCCGGAGCTTCCTCCATTTTAATTCTCCCATAAAACATGGCTGTGTTGGCGGAGTCAGCATCACTTCCCCGCTCCGCTGAGCCGCGCTCCTGCGGATCGGGGACCCCCTTCAGGAGCTGATCCCAAATCCCCCCAAATTCCCCCAGATTCCCCCCCCCCGCCCTTCCCGGCACGCGGCTGGATCCGTGCGGGTCCGTTCCGGTCCCTCTGCGCCTCCCCGGCTCTCATCCCGCATCCAGCCGCGGCGGGCGGAGGATGCTCGGGCTGGGATCCGCGGCCGCCGCTTCCCGCGGGATCCCCGCCTCGCATGGACGCTGAGTTTTGGGCATCGGGAAGCGCTCCTCTCCCGTCGGAGCCGCGATTTGCGCCGCTTTTCCAGGAGCTTTCCAAAATGCCTGAAGCCAATTATTTGTTATCTGTGTCTTGGGGTTACATTAAGGTGGGTTGAAGTCCTTGAAGGATTATTAATTAACGATTTGTTGTTGCTTTTTTTTTTGCTTGGAGAAAGCCTCTGTGAGGAAACTATGCTTTAAAAATGCTGATTTTTGTGTGTTTTGGCTAATTGTGTGTGTAGTGTGCATGCAGAGTCCATGGATGTCTTTTTTTTTTTTTTTTTTTTTTTTTGGGAATTCGGTGTTGCAGGTTAAAATGATGCAGCAGTGAAAATGTTGGATTATAAAATCAGCAGGATCACAGCATGAATATCTAAGGGAATCATGCCCGAATCCCACATTTTGCTGTATGATATTCAGATTTAGGGCGTATTTCTCCTCTGGATATGCAGCTATTTAATACAAAACGGAGCAAATGTAGAAAATCCAGAACAAAAGAAGGTTTAGGGATGGGGAATGTCAACCCGAGATAAAAAATCTGAGGTTTATCTGAATCGTTCTCCCCTCGTTTGTGACTGTAACAATTAACGAGCATCTCTGGAGGAAAATTTATTCCGTGGGCTGAAAAGAAAGACCCAGCCACGGTGATGCCGAGCAGGGTGGAAATGAAACCATCTGGCAGCGACTCCATCCCGAATATCCCCGGGATTCTGCGGGCTGGGGGAGCCTCCCGTGCTACCGAGGCGTGGATTTGGGAGAGGATTCCATAAAAAAATGCCATTTTCCTGTGCTCTCCCCCTCGCAGTTCAAGAGGATGCTGAACCGGGAGCTCACCCACCTGTCCGAGATGAGCCGCTCCGGCAACCAAGTGTCCGAGTACATCTCCAACACCTTCCTGGGTAAGGAACTGCTTTTTGGGGCTGGGGAAGGGTGAAGGGAGGCTGACTGCCCCGTGCACAGCTCCCCTCTGTGGGTGTTCACTTCAATCTGCGGGTGTTCACTTCAATCTGTGGGTTTTCACTTCAATCTGCAGGTGTTCACTTCAATCTGTGGGTGTTCATAATCTGTGGGTTTTCACTTCAATCTGCGGGTGTTCACTTCAATCTGCGGGTGTTCATAATCTGTGGGTGTTCATAATCTGTGGGTTTTCACTTCAGTCTGTGGGTGTTCACTTCAATCTGCAGGTGTTCACTTCAATCTGTGGGTTTTCACTTCAATCTGTGGGTTTTCATAATCTGTGGGGGTTCATAATCTGTGGGTGTTCATAATCTGTGGGTGTTCAATCTGTGGGTTTTCACTTCAATCTGTGGGTTTTCATAATCTGTGGGTGTTCAATCTGTGGGTGTTCACTTCAATCTGTGGGTGTTCACTTC